CTCCAATGTGAAGTCAGTCAATGCTACTCACTATACGGATCAGAGACTTGGCCAGCGCGTCATGAAGAGCATCTCAAACAAACTGCAGACCTTCATTAACAGTTGTCTTCGCTCAATACTCAAGATCAGATGGCCGGTCAGAAGAGATCGGCGACAGGGATCTCTGGCAATCAGCGAACTAACCAGGAACCCATTGAGAAACAAATAGGCAGGAAGAAATGGAGATGGATTGGTTACACCCTGAAGAAACCATCAAGTGACATCACTAAACAAGTCCTCGAGTGGAACCTGAAAGGGAAGTGGAGAGTTGGTCGTCAGTACAAAGGTGACTTGGAGGAGGTCATGTGAAAAGGAGATGAAAGCGTGTGGGCAGACTTGGAGCAGGGTGAAAACGTTGGCAAATTATATGATACTTATCTTCAACGCACGATTTCCGCAGGTCTTCCGTGTTGTGCCTGCTACTTCTGACCTTCCTACTGTGTTTTTCTTTCACGTCTCCCAAGTATCTCTAAAAAGCTCTATCATTTACTTTCTCTGACACCAAATCTATCTCCCTTCTATTTGACATTTGTATGTCGATGAACATTTCATTACATATGTACATACTACTAATAAATCTTATCAGTAGTACACGCCACAAGTGGATTAGACAATATGGCCTTCCCGTTAAGAGGAATGTGCTATAGTGTAGCTGAATACTACTTCTAATGATAAGCTGTGTTTTTTTTGCTTTCTATGTCTATCGCATGATGATTTAACTGTAATTCTTTACTCCTGATTGAACGGAATGTGCACTGAGACAAGAGACGTCTAGATAGACTTGATAATTGCACAAAAGATCAGGCATAAGTTCACGTCTTAATCACTATTTCAGAAAATCGTACCAGAAAGAAATGCTAAAGTTAATCAAAATGAACAACAAATTTAATTCTGTTACTTATTTATTTGTTCACTAAAACACACGATTGGCACAATACGAGCGCCTACAGCTACACTGCATAAAATCTCATAATTTGTGCGAGGACTACACCCACCCCCAGAACGAAGCTGGTTATTATTGTCTTAAGGGGCTACCAATCCCTTGTGGTTAAGTGGTATAAAAGGGTGAGCAATATTGAGGTTAGGCACTGGTCGAATGCTAGGTAAGGATGGGAAATCAATCGACGAGGTGGCTGTGAAGTTACATCGACTGAGATGGTTGGGACATGTATTCCGCATGCCTGCCAAGCCATCGCCTTCCTCGACCAACAGTGTTAGCTGAGACAAGATGGGTCAGGTTGGAGAAGAACTAGCAAGTGGTGGTCAAACCAAAACATGGCTTCGTCAGTCGATCAAATCCACAACAGTTAGTTTAAGCCACGTAGGAAGATGTAGACTTCCCGGCTGGGATCCTCTGGATGGTAAACACTAATGACTTAAGACAATTGGTGATATGGCTCAAAGTCGTTCTCAATGATTGGCTGGCGCGGATGTATCCACTCCTTGTGACTTATAACACCCAATAAAACTATACAGTTCCTCAATATTACTATTCTTTTTGTCTCATATCTCTGTTTACTGTCTCTATTTTGCATTTCTTTTTACTTTCTTCTCCTGCTTTATGGGCCAATTGAAGTGTAGTGACTTGAACTGATGCACATCGGTGCAAAGTTCTATGTTGAAATCAGTCAGTCAGTCAGTCAGTCTATCCATCTCCTCACACCGGGCGTTCAACTTAAAATTCGAATCCACAAGGCAGTGTAGCGGTTTCATGAACTACGTTCCCATGGTTTCCGGTAACCAAATCAAGTTCATTCGATCCTTTCGTATTCTGGAGCCCATGAACACCACATAAGTTTGAAGTCTAGGGTTTCCCAATTCCCCTAGATAGACCAGCATATCCACTAGTCCGGTCGTGAGCGCCAAACGTTTAAATTCGCCCTTTCACCAACCACTGCGTGAAGGTAGTGAACAGGACCTACTTGACAGAGGCTGCTATGTACACGTAACTATATAGGAGAATTTCACGAGGAAGAGTAAAGTCTACCCACTCTTAGCTGCTCCCCCCAAAGTGAGCAGTGATCCATAGCCAAGTTGTTATTTTTTAGATGTCAAATATTGTAGGCATCGTAGTACAGTTTATAGGTGAATATCCAAACCCTAATGAAAATACGACCATGATCGATCAAGCACCGACAACAATGTTTCGGGAGTTTCTTATTGACTAGAAATCTCTGAGATCACTGAACATAATGGATAGTGAAACCAAGAAGAACACAAGTGAGATTCTAATTACAATTTTATTACTTGATTATAGTTCGGTTACTTTAGTGTAGTGAGTTGTCGCCGAAAACTTCGCAAACGATGATCAACGTCTAATATCACACAAAGTCGAAGATGTACAAGTGAAAATCAACAACTTGGCACAAGAAGTAGACAGTAAAGACAGGACACTTCAAATGAACATAGAGAAAACACAGGTGACGAAGATACCCACCGATCAACAACAACAACAACGAGCACCAATCACTCACTATCAATGGGGGAGATTCGAGAGAAGTTACAACAGCCAAATATCTAGCCAGCATCCTTTCAACTACAGATGGCACCGATGAAGAGATGTTAAGGCCATCCAGTCAAGGATCGGAATGACATTGGCAAAACCTCATCACTCTGAAGTGAATTTGAAAATCTGCTGCACTAAGCATAAAGAAAACGATTCAGATTTTCAATACTAATGTCAAGACAACACCTCACTGAAATATTGTTAGATAACAAATTACCTGCTGAAATTTATTAAGAGTGACGGCAGTGTCAACCATCATAGAGCTCTACCAATCCAATCAGCTCCCTAAAAAAGGATGTTTACATATCCTTACTGTTCAGAGGTGATTAACAAAGTCTGATCACTAGACAAAGACTCAAGGCCTCAATTAATAGAACTGATTATTCAGAGGAACTTATCTTCATAGAGAAAACAAGAAGTATGCTGTCCTGTAAACCCTCAGATTATCCGAACGATAGTGTGTCACATCCCATTGTGTTTCTCAATTTACATGTATATGTGGAGACACGTACATAGGGAGGACCCATCGGTCTCTGCAAGTTAAGGCTACAGAACACATTCCGAAGTGGCTGCAACAACAAATTAAATCGCAGAATACAAATGCTCGCGGAAATAGATGTCCAGTATCATCTATAGCGAAGCATATTATAGAGACGGGTCATAAGGTTGATTTCAACAATGGCTTAAAGCCCATATATAAAACAAGGTTGGGCCACATACCTTAATTCGTTGAAGCCTTGGTGGCCATAAAAAGAATTAAACCTGTCTTATGTGTCCAAAAGCTATTTGTTATTACTTTAAACCTGCCTTGGTAATCCAATTTAGAACCAAGGACCAATTTACTTCATGATAATTTCAACACCTTCTTACCCACAAGCTTTGCGTCCCCCTACCGATTATTTGTGATTGTGACCTGTACACAGTCTGACCTGTATTGTATTTATTCATGTCTTCTTGTCTTCTATAAAAACTTTGTATAACAAGTACTCGTGTGTGTGATCCGAATACCCGAAATTTGTTGCGCCAATACATTGCACCTTTCAGATAAACTAAGTCTTCTTATTGTGTTGTCGAATGTCAAGTCAGTCAGTCATTTCTTCTATAGGTTCAGAGACCCTCTGTACCATCAAAAGCGGTCCCAACAGGCCACTAGAGACTTTTATCAAAAGCTGCCTTCGCTCCATACTCAAGATCACATGGCCAGGCAAGAAGGATCAGAAACATGGAACTATAGCAAGCAAATAACCAACTCAGAACCTATTCCCCAACAAATATGTCGAAGAAAGTGCAGATGGGTTGGACACACGCTGAGTAGATCAGAGAGTGGCATCTTTCGTAAGGCAAAGTCTTGAGTGGAACCCGAATCATAAAGGACTATTCGGATGTGTGGCCTAGGGCAACACGAAGAAGATGGTGTGAGGAGGAATTGAAAACCTCTGGGCAATTGTGGAGCTAGCTACAGACAACTACAGAAAACAAGATGAAATCGTGATGTCCTTTCGAAGCTCTGTGTTATTGTTCCACTAAAAACCTATGGGAATAATACATGTATAATTTTTCTACGAGTTGATCACGGATTGATATTAGTTAGAGAACCATTGAAAACCAACCAGGGAGTACTGGACAGCCAGCTGTTTCATCCCCCTAGTTTGAGAATCATCGGCAGTACGCACCCACCTCTCCGGGGTTCGAACCCAGGACCTTGCAGTTAAAAGGCAAGCTCGTAAAAGTTAGAATTCATGGACTGGTCATTGAATCGGGTCCCAGTGGCTGAATGGTATACGAGCTTAGCTTGTAACCTGAGGATCGTGGTTTCGAACCATGGAAGTGGATGCCTACTACCGATGATTCCCAAAAAACTAGGATGAAACAGACTTCCAGTACTCCCTATCTGGTTTTCAATGGTTCTCTAACTGATATCAATCCGTGATCAACTCGTAAAAACATAACTAACTCTTACAAACCAAACTATAGACAATTAATCTGATGCTCACTAGTTACTTGCTAAAGGATGACGCTGTCAGGAGTTCTAGTGAGAAGTCGTGATCAGTGCGGTCCTACCAGTCAAGTGTGAGGATGGAGTTTCCACGGATGACATTGGCTGGGGTAGCGCTATATGTATCACAAATTGGTGGAAGTGAGATTTTCATGAGCTGGTCATTGAATCGAGTCCCAGTGGCTGAATGTTATACAAGCTAGTTTGTTTTGTAACCGAAATATCCTGGGTTCGAACCCCCCTGTGGGATGGGTGCCTACTGCCGATGATTCTCAAAAAACTAGGATAAAACAGCTGGCTGTGCAGTACTACTCCTTGTGGCTGGTTTTAAATTCTTCTCTAACTGATCAATCAATCCGTGATCAAACTCGTAAAAACAAAACTAAAAAACCTTACAAACCAAACTGTGCGTCGGTGGCATAGTGGTTAGGACTCTCGCCGACCATGCACATGGTCTGAGGTTCGATCCCCTGCCGACGTACACCTGATATCAGTTGGTCGGCCTGAAAAATTTGGGCTACCGATATCCATGCTAAAAAATTCCATACTTGTACCGAAAATACGGTGTGGAATCAAGCTGTAATCAAAAAAAAATTATAGGAAATATACATATATGTATATAATTAAAAGGGCAAGGGAATTTATGAAAACCAAGTGGTGCTCGTCATTCAGATTAACCTTTAATTCATCAATAAAGAAATTCATAGAAAAAAAAAGGAGAGAAAAAAATGAAATCATCATGATGAACACAATTTACAAAAGTCTAATTCAAATACACGCGGGCGCGCGCGCACTATTTTCAAAACTATTTGGTATGTTACTCAGCAACAACGACGACTATGATACATCTTGTAATATACAGAAAAAAAGGATCATAATAATAATAATAATAATTACGATTACAATCTTCAAAAACGTTACATGATGATAATGATGACTATGATGATAGCGAAACATCTGGGACATCTGAATGATGGGTGATGGTGACGATAATAAGAAAATAGACAACAGTTGCGTTTCCCTACCGCATTCTTCATTTTATCACATACATATGTAATGACACATCCATACATGACACATACCAGTTGAATTGACTTTCGTGCAATATAATATAGTAAATAGACTGAAATGGGAAGGCAATTCGTTTTACTTTTTACACACACACACACAACTGGAATTCAGTATGTACCATTTCTATGGTCAACAATGGTTGAATGCTTGTCATCATCTTTGGATGAGGATGACGGTGACGATAGGGATGATAATAATAATTTATTTGTACTCCAAGATAAAGCTTCTGGTTGATCAAGAAATGAATTAGCTTCACAAATATCTGTGTGAATTTGCCGGATTAAATCGTCTAAAGTAATCAAATGACAAAAAGAAAAGGAAAAAAAACAGGGGAGTGAAGAGTATATTTTGTAAGTTTGAGTAGCTTAAAAATCCTCATTGAGTCATCCAAAAAAGAGTAGAGACGTTCAGCAAAGAGACTCTTTACGACGACGGCGAATTCATTCACATAGCTAGCTGTACAATCGCATTCATATATAATTATTTCTGTTTGTCTGTCTGTTTTCGACATTAGAACTTTGCATCGATGTGCAGTAGTTTAAGTCGCCACACTCCCCACCCCCACCCCCACCCCCCGATGTAGTACACAAAGAAAGAGAAGAAAGTAGAAGAAATGTATAATAGAGACAGTAAACAGAGGTGTGAGACAAAGGAATAGTAATAACGAAGAACAATATAGTTTCGTTGGATATTATAAGTCACAAGGAGTGGATGCATCCGCGCCAGCCAGTCATTGAGAACGATTTTGAGCCATATCAGCGATTGTCTCCAGCCTTCATTGCTTTTTACCATCCAGAGGACCCCAACCAGTCAGGAAGTCTACACCTTCCTAAGTGGCTAGCTTAAACTAACTGTTGTGGATTTCATTGACTGATGAAGCCATGTTTTGGTTTGACCACCCCTGGCTCTTTTCCAGCCCGACCTTATGTCAGCTAACACTGCCCACTGTCGAGGAAGGCGATGACTAGGCATACGTAACACATGTAATAACCATTTCAGTAGATGTAATTACACAGCCTTATTATACCACTTCACACGAGAGATAGCGCGCAGGCACCTATGATCAAAGATAGCTAGCCGGTCTTTTCATGCCTTCCACTCTCAATGGCCATGTCTCGGTCGCAGCCATAAAGGAGGACGGAGCGGACTGATGAGCAGTACACCGCCCTTTGATCGGTAGTCAGATATCACGCCAGAGGCGGCGCAAACTGGCATATGCGAAACTAGCCCTCTGTATCCGTGCTGTGTGTGTGTGTGTACATGAAGTTTGTCAAGTTTAGATAATTGATCAGGTAATAAAAGAATGATCTAATATAGAAACAAGGTAAATCAGACAGCAACTAAAGTAAGATTGGGTTAGTTAGTAAGTTAGATGACGTAATATACTTGACTAAAATGTTTCAACTTAGGTCAGGGTAGCAACAGAGGTAATTACATGTAGAGACTAAGTAGAAGTGGGACAGAGAATAATGCCATTTAAATTAGAACTGAAATTGAGCAAAAACGTTGAATGACGTGACATAAACGACTAGAAATTGAGCGTTGGTCAAGTCAGTAACCATGTGGTAGTGAGATGTAGAAATTAAATAGGGTGGGGGTAGAGAACAAGATGGTTGAAAATGTAAAATATTACAATTGAGGAGACAAAATAACACTAATTAAGAGACAGAAAAAAAGATTAGGTAGAATTAACTTGTGGGGTAATAAGATAGATTAAATCTATTGCAAATGTAGTGATTGAACGAACTTCTTCTGTAAGCAGAGTTCAGAACTTAGCAAGTGAATCGCCATTGCTTCTGCAGTTTGAAGAAGTTTGATTCGTACACCTTTAGGAAGACTACTTCGTATTCTGTTGACGACTTTGAAGTTTGTTTGGGGTGTAGCTTGGTGTCCCGAATCTATCAAATGTTCCGTGATGGAGCTGCGGGGGTATTTATATTATATTACGTCATCTAACTTACTAACTAACTCAATCTTACTTTAGTTGCTGTCTAATTAGCCTTGTTTCTATACTAGATCATTCTTGTAATACCTGGTCAATTATCTAAACTTGACAAACCTCATGTACACACACATACACATAGAATTGTATATAAATGCGATTGTACAACTATGTAAATGAATTCGCCGTCGAAAAGAGTCTCTTCGCTGAACGTCTTCTCATTTTCATTTGTAAGCTTATTGAGCGAGAGTCCTAACCGTTGTGCCACCGACGCACACACAGTTTATGGAGTAATTTCAATGAAGTAAAACGATATAGTCATTCAGTATCAGTATAATAAACGTGAATAGGCCTTCTGATGCTTCGGGCTAAAAGCTATACTTGTTGTGTGACAGCTGAAGACAATAGTCAATTGTTACTTTAGCTGAAATATGTGGAGAAGAATTCGAACATGTGATGCACTGCTGACTGAATACCGAATACTTAAGCCAATGATTCATGTGGTGGAATACTCCTCACTAAGAATATGACAATACCACATGTGAAGTGATCCACAATGGAAAACTCATTCAGCAAGACGTTCGAAGGGCATACAGGAGGTAAACAAGCTGGCTGCCTGCCTGCCTATTATCACCGATGATATTCTTAGTTGTGGTGGACTGGATTATGCGTCAGACTGTGCGTTGGGGGGGGCGAAGAGTCAGGAATACGCTGAACGACCGATAAGAAGATACTAGAAGATCTGGATTTCGTGCGAGGATGATATATGTCTAATGTCACACAAACTCGAAGACTTGCAAGCGAAAACCAACAAACTGGCTGAAGAGGCAGATATTATTTTTATTACTATTTTTTTATTACATCCTTTAATTCCTAGAGGAACATAAGGCTTCAAGCTGCTCACCTCCATTGCCTTCTGTTTTATGCTAACTTTTTCACTCCGCTCCAAGTCTGCCCACATGCTTTCATCTCCTCTTCACATGACCTCCTCCAAGTTACCCCACCGTGGGACGACTAAATCGCCGCTTCCCTTTCGGGTTCCACTCGAGGGCTTGTCTAGTGATTTCACCCGAGGAACGGACGAGCATGTCAAATCGAGCGAGAATCGGGAAGGCGAGCGAGAAACACATTCATCAACCTGGAACCAATCTGGAAATCTTCGTCACTCAGCCAGCATCAACAACAAAATCCAGTCGGATTTTCAATACAAACGTCAGGTCAATCAGCTCTTCTATACGGATCATAAACTTGGCGGGTGGGTCACAAAGAATATTTCCAACAGTCTGTTTCACACCTTCACTAACAACTGTCTTCGCTCTATACTCAAGATCAAATGGCTGGGCCGGAAAGAATCACTAACAAGAAACTATTGGAACAAACAAAATAAGAACCAATCGCCCAACAAATATGCAGGAGAAAGTGGAGATGGATTGGACACTCGCTGAGGAGGCCACTGGGCGATATCGCGCGTGCTCGAGTGGAACACGAAAGGGAAGCGGCGAGTGAGACGTCTAAGGGAGGGTGACATGGAGGAGATTGTGTGAAGAAGAGTTGAAACAGTATGGACTAACACGGATGCAGGTGAAAAGTATAGCAGAAGACAGAAGGAAGTGGAGGCGTGCAGTTGAAGCCCTATATTCCACTAGAAACCCAAGGGAACAATAATTATTACAACGCATGCCATTGTTCCAGTGGAATCCAAATGGCAAGCGACGAGTAGGTCTCCGATGCCAGAGTGACATGGAGGAGATCGTGTGAGGAAGAGATGAGAGAGTCTGGTCAATCGTGGACCTAGATGAAGAGGACGGCAGAAAACAGAACAAAGTGGAGATGTGTTGCTGAAGCCCTATGTTCCACTTAGAACGCAAACGAATAATAAATAAATAATTAGGTAGGTCCTGATTGAATTTCCAGTCGACGAATTCCTTAAATTCCTCACCTAATTCACTAGTCAGGAGTATGCCTGTAAAAGAAAGGAGGTTGTACGTGAGACTAACAATTCCACAGTTAGTGAAACTCCAAGACTTGAAATCCGAGTTATTTCACTCGAAACTCAAGGAATATATACTTTTATTGTTTGTTTTCTTTATGTCACTATTAAGATCTACTCTGGTGGGTAGTCACTGAGCCATACATAGGAATACCCCCCAGACAGTGACCTCTTCTATCAACTGGTTTTCTTCTGTAGATCTTTCAGTTTGTGTCACAGTAACATTAGATGTAAGTCATCGAAGAAGTTCCTATAGGAAGTCATAGGAGGTCAATCGCTAGCCCGAATAGCTCAGTGGTAATGTCTCTTACTGCAGCACTCACAGGGTGACGCGAGTTTGAATCTCAGAAGGGATATGAGTTCCTTCAAGTTGGTTGCAGATATGCCTCGTTGACGAGTGCCAACTAGCACGAAAGGTAGGCTCAAGGCTTCCTGCTGATTGCCTCCAACCATCTAATATCATCAGAAGTTCATATCTTCTGGAGTCTTTTGCTTGGTCCAACGTATTCCTGTCTTTCTGCACTCCACAACCTGCTGAATGATCTAGTCCACCACAGTCAGTAAAGCCATCGGTGACAGGAAGTAGCCTTGTCTTTACTCCAGGGATATCACAGCTATATGGCATCACCATAGAGCTGTTTAACCAGGTTGATAGTATAATAAGTCTTAATTTCAGCCCCATAAGTGGACAGATTGATTCGGTAAGTGGAAGGAAAAAGAGAAGAAATAAAAAGGTTTTAAGATACACTCTTGAATTATCCAGCAATAACCTGAGGGCCAGTAAAATCTGAGGACTAGGAGCTTGTTATCAATAAACCTTTTATTAGTGGATAGCTTAATAATGAATCTCAGGAGGTTCTAACAAACTAAAAGCAGACTTTACTTTCAAGTCTAACAGTTTTACCAACTACTGGAACCAAAATTATAGAGTTTAAAAGAATTAGTTCCCTTTGTGACGTAATTTGTCTGAATCGTGTAATGTTGTATTTGCGCGCGAAACACATTTCGAACAATCTGATCAAAGACCACGGACATGTTATAGGAATATATATATGAAATTAATAAAGCCTTAAGAGGTGAGAAAATAGACTACTTAGGTCAAGTTAAAAGGACATATTGAAGGTCAAAATAAAAGTGAAGACCACTAAACCAGATAAGAGAGGTTAATAGTACATCTACACTGGCTGGTATCAAAACAAAGTTTACCAAGGAAGGTTTAGTGTGATGACGAATTGTTGCTTTGATAGCATAAAGGTGGTTTAAACTTCCTAATTGCCAGCTACGGCTTCCACAAACTTTAGGATACGCCCTTCCCCAAACACGTTTTATAGATATGTTTAAAAGATCTGTTAACGTCAGTTTTATGTCCTGCCTCTATAATATGTTTCGCAATACATGAGCTAGGTCTCCTTTTCTCACAATTAATCGTTTCTGAGCCATTTAGGAATATGCTCTGAAGCCAGCCCTTACTTACAGAGATCGATGAGTCCTCCCTATATATGTATGTGTGTTCACACGTACATTCAAGTTGGTAAATACAGTGGGAGGTTCAAAGAGCTTAGATGGATGGATAAATTGGCTTCACATTCTCAATTATTATTATTATGATACTAGGTGCATAAAAAGTCTTTTTAGCCACAGCAGCGTTCAATCTTTGTCTAGTTATCAAGCTGCTATGATGTCCCACATAGGGCAGCATGATGTACACGTCCATCTTTCTTAGGGGTGAGTTGTAGAGTGGGTCTTGGTGTTCCACTGACTACTTTATATCTCCTGATGAACTTCTTGTCTGGATAATAATTGTTATCAACCACAGTTTGTGTCAACTTTCTTTCTACTTCATATTTTTTTTTTATATTTTTGATTTACAGCTTGATTCCACACTGTATTTTTGGTACAAGTATGGAATTTTCAGCATGGATATCGGTAGCCCAAATTTTGCAGCCCGACCATAGATATCAGGTGTGCGTCGGCGGGGATTCGAACCTCGGACCATGTGCATATAACGTTAAAGTCTTATACAAATCTATACATAATGGGATATACATTTTAGAATGTAATATGGCAATAGTAAAAGAAACACAATTTTTAAAAAAATAATAATAAACTTACCAATACTTGGAAAATCAAGTTCAGGTCGAAAATATTTAACAGAAATAAGTTTAATTGTTTCACCATAAAAACTATCTTCAAAGGTATTAAGTATATGAACTTCCTGAAGAATAAAACATACATATAGAGGTTAGACCAAATAGAAAATAATCTCACCAACCATTGAACGTTTCACATTTTTAAAGTATGGATTCCAACCAATACTCATAACCATTTTATAAACTGGTGTATTGCTAAGTTTAGCCCATCCAAAGTAAATACCATTTTCAATTGTAGCAGGAAGCTGATCAACAACAGATTCTTCAAGATTGGCTATAAAAAAAATATCCAAAGAAAATGTGAAAATGTGTGTAAGTGTTGAAGATCAGTAGCGAGAAATACCTGTTGGAATTCCAAGTTGCTTTGATCCTCTACCGAAACCATGTACTACTTTACCAGAAGCATAGAATAACGCTCCAGAAGTTAAATTGGTAAACATCTACAAAAGAAAGTGAATGAAAATAATAGATAAGTAGTGCATGTGCTTGAACTCAACACATAAAGAACAAGATTCGCAGTCTATTCAACACAAATGTGAATTCAGTCAGTTAGTGAGTGCTTCTACACGGGTCAGAAACTTGGCCAGCGTGTCAGTCACGAAAAGGATTTGCAACATTCTGTTGCAGACTTTTATCAACAGCTGCCTTCGCTGGATCCCTACTGAAGATCAAATAACAGGTCAGAAGGAATTAGTAACAGGAAACTCTAGTGACAAACCAACCAATAGCCAACCGCTTAAAAAATATGTAGGAGAAAATGGAGATGGATTGGGCATACGTTATGGAGGCCATCGAATTTACATCGCGCGTAATGCAGGCCATCACTCGAGTGGAATCCAAATGGGAAGCAACGAGTCCGACATCGGTGAGAGTGACAGGGAGGAGGTCGTGTGAGGAAGAGATGAGAGTTTGGTCAATCGTGGACCCAGCTGAAGAAAACGGTAGAAAATAGAACGAAATGAAGGTGTGTTGCTGAAGCCCTATGTTCCACTTTGAACCCAAGGGAATAATAATAGTCCATATGCTTGATTTGTAATGGGCGACTACCTTCATTCTAGTCCGTTAATACAATCATGAACAGCTACACATTATGCCTTACTCTTAAATAAAAATGTAAGTGGGACTGCATTTATATATAATAGGAATGGGACGGAGGGAGGCAAAGTTCCAGGAGTGCGAACGCATGAGTGACCTTCAGCTGACCAATCATAAAAATGAGGAATGTTCGCTCAAAAAATGGTGTATATTGACAAGAAAATGCTTGAAAACGCATTAAACAGGTTATCTTTCTGTGACATGGCTTAAAAATACGTCCTAGTTATAACGAGGACTAGTTCCTGTACACGTATTCACCAAGATGACTAAAGGTAAACTGTTTTTGTGAATCGTTTATCTCTCTCACCCTGCTTGCAGTCTTCCAAAAAGCCCTCGGTTTAATTATAATGGTTTCCAGCAAGAGGATAGACGACTACTTACCAGGAAAACATGGATAATAAAACAAATTAAAATAAATGGCATCAACCATAAATTTATCCCGAATCGTAACCATAAGTTTAATCCTGACCCTAACCTTAATCCTAACCCTTATCCAAACCGTAATTCTAACTCTAATGGGAATTATAACCTTGATCCTAACTCTAACCCCAATACTTACCTTAACCCTAATCCTAGCCCTAACGGGCTCTTAACACATTGTCTAAACAGTACTTAAAAACGTGATCCGGGTGAAATTTGCTCCCAAGTCGGTGAATACCGTTGATATTTCGTTAGCCAACGACTAGCATGCGTTCAAGGTCATTGGAGTGTTCACACTCCTGGGACACTATTGTTGAACTTCGCCCGGAGGGGTTCATAAAATTGTGGAACCGGTGAATAAGTAATAAATAATTTTTCCTTCACGTCCCCCAGTGGAACATAGGGCCTCAAGCTAGTGGCTTAAAGTTTCTGTAGCAGCGTTTATTTCACAGGATGGGGTTGCTAGCCTCAAGCCCAACCTGTCCTCTTTACCAGCATTATTTCTGGCTTAGAGAGGTAAAGGAGTGCGTCCGCTGCAGATCGAACCCCGGACCATGTGCATGGTCGGCGAGCGTCCTAATCGCTATACCACCGACGCAACCGGTGAATAGTAGACACAAATGGGTACTTTTTAAAAAAAACCTATGATCTATATTTAAAGTCGTTTGTACGGATGAATCGATTTTGATGTCACCATTATTATCAACTGCCGTATTAAGTCTATAATCTTTCCACTATCCATCTTAATTTACTGTACCCTTCCATACTAAGTGAAAAAATTAAATGAATCAGAGCCTCGTTTCATTTATGTGAAAGTTATCACAAATACAAAAAGTTGGTTTACACTTGTACGTTAAATGCCCTAGTTAGTATCAAAATTCAAGGCAAAATCTAGTAAAATAGAAAACAAAAAGCTGCACCGATCGATTCTCTGAGGCAACCTGAGTACTTAACAATCCTTCAAAACTCCGTTGACGAACTTAAAATAAAAACTCGAACATATTTATATGCTTTCTCTCATAAAAACTGTAAATCACACAGAAAGTTGGTCAGTTTTATTGTAGGAAAGAGTTATGTGATTTTACCACATGGAGTTTCCAAAGAATTTATTGTTCTTCATCATAGACTGATAAACATGCATCACACTAAGTTTAGCCATGACCACAATTAACACTATCTGGTCTCTGTCTGGATTCAACATAGAACTTGACACCGAAGTGCAGCACTTCGAGTTGCCACATTCCAAATAGCACACAGAGGTAGACAAGAAGATGAGTGAAGAGAATCAATAGAGATTGACAAGTATAAGAGTGAAACAGAATGGGTAATGGTACAAAGGAATATGAAAGATTACAGAGACTGAATACATCTGCACCATTGACAACGATTTTGAGCCATGTCACCTATTGTCTCCAGCCATTGAAGCCTAGAGTCCCGACGGCCCCAACCCGGGAGTCTGCATCTCCCTACCTGACTCAGTTTAACTGTCAAGGATTTCATGGATTGATGAGGCCATGTTTTTGTTTGGCCACCACTGGCTCTTTTCCAACCTGCACCTATATCAGCTAGCAATGCCCGCAATTAACACTGTGCAATCATACAGTAAATAATAAACTATAATAATAGGTATGCGCCGCAGAAGCTCTATGTCCCACTCAGAACGCAAGGAATGAATAAAATAATCATCATTAAATATAAAAATAAAAATAGTCGTATGGAAGAAAATTCTTTCAAAAAAATGCGGAGTAAAGTATTTCAAAGTAATTTTCAATGAATCCAAATACATTAACTGAAAATCAAGTAACACTAATTGAGGCTTATACGCAAAGAAAAGCAACAAGAATATGGAATGTATGTGAAAGTACCCACTGCTTTCGCAAATCGATACTTCTCCCAAACATAATTTATCTCTAAATAACATGCTACCCAACCAACTATATAATTTGATCAAAGTTTCAAGATGACTAGGCGGGAACAATCAGGAACATTATCATCTGAATTTATGTAGTCTTTTGACATTCAAATTGTAAGACGGTCGACAGTCTATTTTGCAGGTATGATACGCTTCAAACAAGCAACTAAACTGAAAAATTCACCTGTGTAGTGTTGCATCAACTGCATATTATGCAAGAATACAGCAAGAGAATGTGACTGGGAAGTTCCCGAGAAATATTATGCCCTCATAGGTCTCAATAATTATTCTACTGGATATCTGTCGCGGTATTATCTTTTAAAACAATAATTGCCATGTTTTGGAAGATACATCATTTTATTAAACTTTGAGCGTCGCTCTACTTTTAAGCATATAAAATGCACAATCTCGGAAATTTGGCTGTCAAAAGATAGAATATTAATCTAATTAGGTCACTTTTACGCCAAAATTCGTTGAAGAACTAAAACAACAGCTTACAATTAAAACCCGTGTGCTAATACACTGACACAAGAGTTTATAAATCGATCTCTGTAATTTCAACAAATATCTTGAAAGAGCAGTAGGAGAGTGTTGGTGCGTTTAGCGGTGGCAATCTTCTGAACCAGAATTCTGAAACAGAAGGAAAGACTAGGATATCAGCTGGTGACTTAAAAAGCACACTATTGATCACTTCCTATTGTTGTAAAACGATTACAAAGGCACTTACTTCTAATAATAAAAGCAAGAAATAGTCTCCACGCTGGGAAATACGACAATATGGAAGAAGAAATTGTAAATGAAAGCAGAATTCTCTAGGCGATAATACACGACCACAGCGCATAGAACCAAACTTCCACCTTATAATTCAATATCCAATACCCAATACTGATTGAATTCTGTGTGCTAGCGTCTTAATTGTAATTTAAAGGTTGGTTATATCTGGTAAGTTCCTGTATAGTTTTTGCAACCACTAGATTGTCATAGCTTTGACTGACTCCAAAAGGAGTAGCATCTGTATGAGCCAAATATTGTTCGTGGTTCGTATTAAGTGCGTATCAACTCCTTGAATGGAGTTGATTCCATTCACCCGTGAGTCGTCCGGTGTGACCGAGAAGAGAGATAATAATAGCGAATATGATTAATGTAGATTAAGTACACTTAGAAGAGGGAAAGCGCACAAACGGATAAATGATGAAATTTGAAAGTACAAAATATAAATAATAATGAGTAAGAATATGACTGAACGGCTAAATAGAGTAGTCAGAAGAGTAAGACAATGGTCAGTGGGCAGTACTCAAAGGACAAGTTTACGTATACACCCATGAATAGTGTGTATGAGTTTTAAGGGTATAGTCCGTTTGAATTCGGTCCTCCTGTCGCTGCATGATTGTTCAGGCTCCACCCTAAGCTGCCTAAGGACGCTACACTAATCACATCTGCTGTCCAAGCAGCTGAGAGGCGAAAAAGTCAAGGGTAAAAGAAACAGAGGTTCACCCGAGTCTTTGCTGTCTTATGCACCCTAGGGAGCCTGTAGTGACTTCGTGCTAGAAAACCTTTGGACGATCCTGATGATTCATAATCTTCTGGGCAGTTATTAGGTCTCCCCTTAGCTGGCCGTGGCTAAGTACGACGACACGCACTTTCTTCAGCCTTTCATCAAATGTTTTATCCTGGAGATCCATCATTCCTTTCACCGCCCGTCTTTAGACTCTTCAAAATATCGGGTAACGGGTGAGCAGCAATACTGTGCAACTCCTAATGTGGTGTTATGTGTATTTTTTACAACCTCAAAATAAACTCAGGAGTGAGAGGGGCTTTCTGAGCGTAAAGTGAACAGCCACACATGCCGTCTCTACATCACCCGAGTAATTCACATTTGTATCCACTTTTCCAGTTAGAACTAGACCTAAGTCACGCTCTGACGTTGTGCAGGACAAATTGCCACTATATAGGGAGTTCCTTACACTCTGTGGCCTACAGTTACGCCGTCATACTGCTTTGCTTTTTTCAGGTTGAAATTCATACTGGTGGGTAATACCAAGTGTCAATGGAGTTGAAGATTGAACGATCAATTCTTGGTTGTTTGCTCAAAATCAACTTCCTCGATTTTCGCGGAGGCATCAATACGACAGTCATCGTCTCATCGGTCGCTGTTCAGAAAGAAGATTGAAACATCGTCAGAAGTAATACAGAGATTTATTATTGTAATATTTGTTTTCAGACCTTAGTTTTCTTAGTTTGCTTAGTGATACTTGATTTATATGCTGGTGTAACAATACATAATACTCAAGTCAACAATTGGTGTTCTGGTTTTTTCGTCCGTTGTTACTAAGCGTTTCTCAGAAATCTTCTAAGAACAGCGTGGGCCCGAGCGTAGCGAGAGCTGGGCATTAACGGTTTATGAGACTTTGCTGACAGTTTCTGACGATGGAAACAGATCTGGCGGATTGAAACAGTTGGTGAAAGTTTGGATAGTCGCCGTTCATCTTTCCTGGTGCCGGTCAAGTCCTCTTTGAACAAGCAATATCTGGAACTTTTTTGGAATTTGGTCAAGTTCAACAATGCCTGGGTCAAAGAAGGGACAGAGTGTCTTGGATGCAAACAGGAAAGTAAGTCATGGTGACTTGTCTGTTAATTGTAACGATGTGTCTGATGTTAAACATGATATGGTTGATGTTACTGTTTCGCCGTTCAGGGATAATAGGAACATCAAACTCCCTAAATTAGAACCACGGTGTTTTGATGGAAACCCGGCTGATTATTTACAATTTGTAAAGGAGTTTGAGATCATGCTGAATAGTTTTCTATTAAATGATGAATTGAAATTGATGTATTTGATGAGATATTGCACTGGAGATGCTGCAAGAGCTATACAGTGTTGTAAGTTTATGAAGCCAAAGGAGGGCTACGATGAGGCTATGAGCATATTACGCCAAAGGTTTGGAAGACCTTCGATGATTGCAGGGAAATTATTCGAGGCTGTTGAGGGTAATGGTGGTCAGTTACAGGATGACTCCCAGGCACTCACTGAGTTTTTAGATAATTTGCTAATTTACAAGAATGGAATGATTTCGATGAATCGAATGAGTGACCTCAACTCGAGTTTTATACTAGAAGTAATAGCAAGACGTCTACCTACCCGACTGCAAAGGAAGTGGGTGAAGATAAGCTCCCGTATGGAGGATGAGGGTATCGAGCCAAAGTTTGATGATATCCTGAAACTGGTAAATACTAGTGTCAATCAATCTATGAGCAAGTTCGCCAGTCTGTTAGATCTCACCCATAGAATAGAGCAGTCTGAGGGGAAAACGTACTCATTGATGACGAATAAGCCTCAGAGAGGTGGATATCGAGAAGGCTCCATGATGTCTAGTAATGCATATAGATCTAGTGAGTGTAACAATTTTCGTAGTACATCCTCAACAGATAAGTTGCAAGATGCAAGACAAACACGGTTGTGTTGTACTCGTTTGCAAGAGGTGCATACAAAGGTGAGCTGTGAACCAGTGAGCAAGTTCAGTGATAAGCTAAATGTAAACTCCAGGCCTTACTCCGAATTGTGTGACGATAACGTTGTTGTGAAGAAGTCTGTAGTTGCAACTGGTAAGCCGTTGTTGAATAGAGTGTCACAGAATAGAGTTACTGCTTCAGAGTGGAGTTCTGACTCCAAAAGTTTACAAAGTATAACTAGTCAGAGTGAAGATATAAAACCTTTAATGATTTGTGAGGAGGAACCAAAATTGTCTACTTCTGTTATTAAAGAGTTTGAAAATGATGAACTTGACGGTAAATTGAATATATGTGATAATGATCATGATAGTGCAGATTTGTCTTTGGTTGATCATGATGAAATGGAGGGAATGCCTACTACTGCTAAGTTAAATAAAGGTTCTGTACAACTTGAACGTGAAGTAGAAATAAATGCAGATTCAGTTGCAGAAGGCATGCATACTTGTGAGACCGTCAGTGTAATTGATCAGCGTGTAGCCCACCTATCATCAGATGATAGTGCTAAACCCGAACTAGTAGTGAAAGACAGCAGTGGTGGTAATCTTGCAGTTGGACAACTATCTGAGAGCCGAACAAGAACAGCTTCTGATCCACCACTAAGTTCATCACCTTGTGTCACTCAGTCATCGTTGGTGTTTTCATCCACAATGAAACAGATGCCCATCAACTCAAGTATCTTCTGCAATGACTATGGTAGTATCAGTTCGTTTGAAAGGACGTATATCAATGGTCAGTTTAGTGTGGATAAGCCAAGTGTAAAGGAGAGAGTAATTGTTAAATTGACTTGCACGAATAAAGGCATTTCTAGTTTCAAGTTACTATTTGAATGTTATTATCTTTGGTGTAAATTACTCTGTTTCTATACTTGGTTGATGAGATATGTCGTGTGTTTGTTGGTCATCTATATTCTACGATACAATGACATGGGCGTGTTGCCGTTCAGATTTGAGGATATAGCTGATAGAAGGAAGTTAGCAAATGAACTCTGCGACGATTTTCCAACCTAGAGCGTCAACCTGAGAAGGGTTGTAGGCGTACTGGTGTAAGTCCTACAGTTCTTCAAAGGGTAGCGCATCAATGAGCAGTCCAATGTGCTTGGTGTATGATCTTGTACATATGTTCATATTGTATATACTGAATTGATATCATCTTTCATCTAGCTGTTGGTAATTCTGTTTGTGTCCGGACGACTTCCACTTGTATCATCAACCTGAGAAGGAATGTAGGCGTACTGCTGTAAGTCCTACAGTTCTTCAAGGGTAGTTTGTCGTGTCGGAATCCACAACATTTGATGTGTTGATTGTACATATGTTTGTGTTAAATAGTTGTGTGATTTCCAATTGATGTAATTGTTGGTTAATCTTGTTTGTGTCTGGACATTCCACAACTTACAATCGTCAACCTGTGAAGGGTTGTAGGCGTACTGGTGTAAGTCCTGCAATTCTTCAAAGGAATTACATCGAGACATGATCGGTGAAGTTGTTTGTACTGTTTGTATGTACGTGTGGTGTGTCATATCAATTTGTGATTTTGGATTCATTGTGTTTACTTGTTGTTTTCGTGTCTTGTTGTTATTGCGTAATTTTGTTAAAATTTTCGTCGTGATTACTTCTGAAGTTGTTTCGAGTCTTCTACATCCATGAATGAATTGATTGATGTTAAGGACAGCAGATGGGTCGTATACGCCGGGGAGGCTAGGCTATTGCTGAGAATGAAATGCACACGGAGACAATTGTTAGCTGCGGTCCGACACGCCGGGGAGAAAGAGTGTAAACGACTGAGGCTCGCATGCGTCACCGCTACTAGAACTGAGGCAGAATGAGTGACAAGCGATTTCAGTGGTAATTGATAGTGAATAGAAAAGAGGATGCTTGAAGAGTATCATGAGGTGCTGCTATGGTCACGTTGCATTCTGCAAGAGTCATTCTAGTAAGTGGCGATTGTGTTGCAAGATGTCAAGAGGAGGTCTCTGTCTGGAGGCGCAGGTCGTCAGCGATGTGTGAGATTGTGCTGTGGGTATGCTTGTGGTGTGTTGGCTTTTCTGTTTGTTTTCCATTTCAGCTCTGTCCGTGTGACCCAGGTTCTCGCAATGGCATCCAAGTCAACGTGCATTGGTCGTGAAGGAAAAAAGGGTTGGATCCCTTTTTTGCCGGGGAGTGTCAATGGAGTTGAAGATTGAACGATCAATTCTTGGTTGTTTGCTCAAAATCAACTTCCTCGATTTTCGCGGAGGCATCAATACGACAGTCATCGTCTCATCGGTCGCTGTTCAGAAAGAAGATTGAAACATCGTCAGAAGTAATACAGAGATTTATTATTGTAATATTTGTTTTCAGACCTTAGTTTTCTTAGTTTGCTTAGTGATACTTGATTTATATGCTGGTGTAACAATACATAATACTCAAGTCAACAATTGGTGTTCTGGTTTTTTCGTCCGTTGTTACTAAGCGTTTCTCAGAAATCTTCTAAGAACAGCGTGGGCCCGAGCGTAGCGAGAGCTGGGCATT